AGTTCATGTCAAGAGCTCCAACAAGGCATTAACATGACAAAATGTCACCACCTAGTTGCTCACAATATTATGAGTTCAAACTTAAGTCAGATTTGAATTTCTGAGAACTTGTAAAGTCAAATTTGAACTTCTGAAAAGATGTAGATGATTTTGAAAAAAAAATTTGGTCAATTTGAAGCAAGTTGAAAACATACCTTTTTGACCTTGAGAAGGTCATTGAAGGTCAAATGTCAAATCTTAAGTCAGATTTGAACTTCTGAGAACACATAGATGATTTTGAAAAAAAAAATTAGTCAATTTGAAGCAAGTTGAAAACAGACCTTTTTGACCTTTTTTGACCTTGAGAAGGTCATTGAAGGTCAAATGTCAAATCTAAAGTCAGATTTGAAGGTCAAATGTCAAATCTAAAGTCAGATTTGAATTTCTGAGAACATGTAGATGATTTTGAAAAAAAATTTAGTCAATGTGAAGCAAGTTGAAAAAAGACCTTTTTGACCTTGAGAAGGTCATTGAAGGTCAAATGTCAAATCTAAAGTCAGACTTGAACTTCTGAGAACATGTAGATGATTTAGAAAAAAATTGAAGTCAGTCTAAAGAGTATTTGTTAAGTTATAGGAAGTTGTAAGAAATTGCTACAGACGCCGGACGCCAACCGCCGGACGCCAACCACCAACCGCCGTCGCAAAAAAACGGAGACCATAACAATATGTCACCACTTTTGGTGGTGACATAAAAATATTCCAGTTTAACGTGAGTGTTAAAGAGAGAATTGTTTAGTCCCGTATCCCCATGGCTCATACCACGCATGCCTGACTAACGTTTGCATGTTCCACCGAAATGCGGTCTAAGAATTTGATTTTCAAATCTCCGATTTTCAATTCGGCGCCCGGGCGATTGAGTATTTTGTTCAAAGTTTTGAACGAAATGCTTAATCAGCCAGCCAACGGATTGAACATGGGAGCATATGTAACCCAGGCATTACTCAATGACATTATGGTATAATAAACTGACTCACAAAAAGTACAATGAACAATTTGTAAAACCTTTAAATATTTTAACAGACACTAATACAGTTCATTGTTTTAATCTATTTAAAAGGATACGACTGTTGCTATCCTGCCATAAAACAATTCGATTTTAAATGATTCATAGCAAATAAAGAGAGTACTATTTTTATGTTACCCCTACAAGTGGTGGTGACATATTGCTATTAGTGTCCTGCTTTTTTGACGGTGTACGGCAGTTGGTGTTAGGCGTTCGGCGGTTGGTGTCATGCGGTCGGCGATCGGATTCTGGAACAAAAGGCAGGTGGTGACATTGTGCATGTGTATGCCTTGTATGTCTATGCTAAACGATCCTAGTCGTGAGCATATTATATTGTATGTAATTAATACATGGAATTTTGGGTGCTACCAATTTCTGAGAGAAAGCTGCAAGTTTCTTTGAAGCAAGCTTCTTGGTTGGCGGGGAATGTATAAGCTCAAAAAGTACCCTCGCTGACATAGAAGATCAGCCTCATTGACTGTAGGTTTCCTTGGTTTATGAACAATTTTAACTAAATAAGAAAGATGTCCTCGTTGAAGACCAAAATGCATCTTGGGTTGATAGATGTTTTACTCTCGTCATGTGTAATGCCTTGGTCACATTTGCTCCGATTTTCGCTACGGTGCTCGGCCGATTGAGTATTTTGTTCAAAATTGAATACAATATTGAACAAAACACTCAATCGGTGCAAATGTGACCCAGGCATAATTGACAAAATATCATAGTTAGATGTCAACGGGAATGTTCCCTTGCCAAAAGAAGGCCTATGATGTTTTACTAATGCCTGGGTCACATTTGCTGCGATTCATCGGCCGGCGCCCGGCCGATTGAGTATTTTGGTATGAGGTTCCATATCCATCCGCCAAAAGGTATGAACCCTATATAGTCCATTTATAAACTTGTGATTGTGTTCTAAATAACGCGGCCAAAGTTGGCTTCTAGGGTACCTAGTATGCCACTATTTGGTATCATAATAAAGAGGAGGAGTTCAACTTTCATTTGAATTACGAAAATAGCGATGTAGGTCAAAATAGTTCCGACGTGAGCATGTTAACTACGCGTCTGCCCGTCATCTCAGAATTGAGGAAATGTTAACAAACGCGAGTTACAATAAATGGACGCTGATATCTCAAAATGTAACCTGACTCCCTATAATTTGATGTAGATCAATCGAACCCCTATATGAACAGGTACATTTTGATATATAACACTACGGGGAAAGCATTTTATAGTTGATCAGGAACGCCATATGTGCAAAGTATTGTTCTGAATTTTCGAATTTGGTGTTGGATTACGGTACTCATACCTTTTGTTCAAAATGTAATACATTTCTGAACAAATTACCCACAATCGGCCGGGCGCCGTAGTGAAGCAAATTTTGCCGGAGCAAATGTGACCAAGGCATAAAGAACATCGTTGGCTAGTCATCAAAAAGCTGGCCTCGTTGGCTAATAGATATCAATCAGCGCTCATTGACTAATTTAGATAAAGCCGCCCTAGGCCACATTTGCTCCGATCCATCGGCCGGCGCCCGGTGCTTTGCATTTTTCACAAATGAATGCAATTCTGAACAAAATACTCAATCGGCCGGGCGCCAGCCGATGAATCGGGGCAATTGGGACCTAGGCATAAATTAACCAGAAAGCGGCCCCTATAGAACGCTTGACTTCTTTGCCACCAGTAAGGTGCATTGCTAATTTACATCGGCAATACCCTTGATACTTCAATGTACGAATGACATTGACGACAATTTATCAACAAAACATACAAATGCATACTTAGATTTGTGCGGAATAAAGGCTTTTAGGTGTCTTGTCACGCAGAATTGGTCTATATTATAGCTACATGGTCATTAATCATGTGGCACATCTGTTGGTACCTGTGGCAGTAATGGGACATTTGTCAACGGTACAATTAACAAGGGGTCGTCTCAAAGGGGTCGCGTTAGAAGACACACGCCGAACTTTATCAATTTATATTGGGGGTTGTCGAATTGGTCGATAGTGCTTGAACGCCAGCTCGTTCAACCTAGGCGTATAGGTGCCGTAACCACGAGGTTGCGTATGTTCCTTGTGTTTAATCATCTATAACTACCAGTCCATTCTACTACCATTTGTAAGATTACCCAACCTTGTTAGGAAGTTCGAACTTTTGCAATAGAAAAGGTTTGAGATCGCATTTAAACATCTATAGTGGAAATATTTCATGATGAACTGCCACATTTTATCATTTATCTATTAATCCTGGACTTCCAAGTGTAGTTAACAATACAAAACGTTCACACATTTTACACAAGGCGTAAATTATTACCTTCATGTATTCTATCAATCATATCATTAAAAAGGTGGCAGGTTGGTCGGTTGGTATCGCCATTTATGTATTTTACAAGTCTCAAGGGTCGTGTCGCCGTGCGATTATCGCGTTTAGTATTCTCACACCTAGTTCATGCCCATAATTACGATTGGGCGTCCTAGGGAGCTCGTTCGATAGCCTTGTGGTATGTAGCACACGCTGGGGACACATAACTTACTGAACGAATATATGGCATTTGAATAACATTGTAATTAGTATATATAAGCATCACCAGTGGTTGGATTTTTATGAATGAAAAGGTGTATGTATGGGCCAACTCTAACACTTAATATGATTGAAGTGCATTTTTTAGAAAGTTGACTATTTTGACCTGCCTCCATCTGTCAAAATCAGAGTGAAAAGTTTCGACTTTTTCTATAGATGGCGTATTCAACAGGTGAGATCTTTTGATTTTCGTGGGGAGTTTTGGTTCAAACTCTTTTGACTGACATGCTAGGGTACGATGGCACGATAGTAAAACATGTCCACAAATCTTAGTTTTCTCTGAAAGACAAATCATTTAGATGGCAATACGCATTTTATAGCATTTGCGCGTGTTAGCCCGCTGTGGACAATACAAGGCTCACCGCACATGGCTTACGTAAGCCTACATTTCTCCATCCGTACGATCTCCGAGGACATCTACACCGTATTCTGCTAGTATACGTACCAGCCCCGATGCGGTAGTGTGTCATCTCTAAAAAAAGCCATACGAAAGTCACAGCTTCAAAATAGTAACTGCTACAATATGTCACCGTAGAAATGCTACGGCAGTCCGATGAATCCTATTGACCGTAGATAGTTTAGACCACAGGGCCGCCGCTGCAAATGTGACAAAGGCATGACGTTCAAGACAATACGAAATTCGATAAACAATATTTTTATTTCTCATTAAATATAGATTCTATATGCTCTTTGACCATTCCGCAATTTGTGTTTTTATTTTAATGTTTAATCTAATTTCTTATACCTTGAGACGTTATGCTCATTTTCTCAAGATTTCGAAGAAATTATTAAAATGGTCAAAAATGGTATATAAATATATGTAAGAAATAAGTCATATACTGATACATTATTCTTGTAAGATATGTTTCACACAACGGGTTATAGATATACCTATCCGCAACCGCATCACGTTTTTACTGAACTGATACGCATAAATCAGGTGAATGTGTTGCGGATTCTAGATACATTGGGCTAAAAACGTTGTGCTTAACCTCTCAAAGTTAACATTACATGTATACTTTTTTATCCTAAATAAGTGACTACATAATTAATGAACGTTATTGAACCACTTTATCCACAAAATAGACATAAACATTATTTTGAAACTATACTCTTTCAGAAAAAAGTTTCACATAATATACATTATTGTTATACAGCATACAAGCGTTTGCTTGAGACCCTTACCCTTACCCGTGTTAATGCGGGGAGGGTTAGAAAATTGACTCTATAGGTTGATCCAAGTGTAGGGAATTTTATGGTCCAATTCTTATTTTGCCAAAAATGCCTCTATTTCGTAGTCGTCTCGCGCAAATATTTGAATACTGCATCATACAACTCGATTCGGGAAAAATGGCGGGAATTTATTGCATATAAACTACATTGCACTTGTAATAAAAATAAACTGTCTGTATTTGAAAACGAGTAGTAAAGGCACTTTTTGGTTGACTGGCGATGCAATCTGACAGGCCAAAGCTGCTGCGTTATCAAGATTTCTGTTCACAGATTTGGCATAACTGTAAACATTTTCCAATAGAACGGCATTATATAAAGCATTTAAGGCTACACTAAGTAAGTTATATATTTTGCTTTTTTTCTTATGAAACTGGCGGATATTTTCATTTTGATTCTATCCTCAAAACATGTCTATTAAGAACTCTGAATTAAGTTTTTTCGTATTAATATCCAAAATAACGAATGGCGATGCATTATTTGCAGTAAAGCCTTCATCAAGGACCATATTTTCATGCATAAGATCACAAGGGCAACAATTAAGCTGCAATAACCATGGCGACCATTGTGATTATGGTAACAATTACCATGGCCAACATTATATTTGAAAAATTGCAGCTATAGTTTACTCATTTACTGTAGCCTTAGTATAGTAACAATATCATAAAAACATTCAGGAATGTTATTGTTCAGAAGCAATTTGATGTACGGTGATAACTCAGAAGTATTCCAGTGGATCTGCTAGGGTTTTTCCAGTTAAGACGCTATGTGCCTCTAAAGTTGATCCAGCATGTGGGAGACTTTGGAAAATTCGTGCGTGAGTATGTTCATCACCGTTTGTACGAATCTGAAAACAAAAAGTCAGCTTGAACCATTTTCCCTGACATTATGATACAATCTTATATCAAAGCTCAAAGTATTTCTAATCTCAACATCAACATCACAAAGTAAGAGGCGATAAGTGGAAGATCATGGAAGCAAAATTAAATGAATGATACTGATGATTTTTTCCTTTAAATTAAAAAATTGCATAAAATTGCATAACATTTCTTAAAGACTTACGCCTAACCAATACTGTATTGTAAAATTGTAAAATGTATGTTTACCATGTAACTGTATTGTAATTGTGTTTTGCAATTGCTTTAACATGTTTTTTCTTTGAAACAAAAAAAAATATAAAACAAAATAATATCATCGGCAGCTATGAATTCTTTGAATGTTTTAGTATCTCCGAGTTTGTCACCATATCTGAGTGTGTTACCATTTAATCAGGGAGTCAATTCTAAATCTCTATACGAATGTGACCATGGACAGTATTACCGTATCCAAGAAGCAATGACTTACTCAAGTATCCACGCCCTGATCATATCATCATGAGCTCCTTAAGCTCATGGTATAACAGGGCATAGGCGGTACCCCATCCTCCGATCCCACAGGGCTTCAAAATCCAGAATATATTCTTTCTTTTTACCCCATGCGATAAGCAGTTAGCATTTCCCCGATTAAGAACTCGCTATCTGAGTTGACAGCAACACTGCGACAGAAATCATGTTTTAGTCATTGCGCATAATTAGATCACGTGATTCAGTTTAATCGGGCGCTTCCAAATTGGTTATATTAGGGGGAAGGAGATACGGATTCTGGACACCTGCTTAGGAGGATGGCGGTTCACGTGGTTTCTCTTTACCTTTACAAAGTAATTAGTCCCAGCAACAACCTGAGTCTTGTAATGTACCGCTACGAATTCTGTAAACTTCACCCCTGCTTTTTCTTCCAATGAGTCCCGAACCTGTGAATACAAACAATTTGATTAACCCTTCTTGATAGTTTAATTTCACTTAATTTACCCTCTTTAAACAATAGAAACTTCGATGATCTAGCCATACCCATGGCGTTTTATAGCGTATATGACACGGCCACGCCAGTGATTTTTATGTGTGTGAGGGGGAATTAAACATTTATATGTATTATTTCGTGGCCAGGAGGCAAACATACCCTGAGTAGCCTAAATACAGCAACAATAAGCTGCTAAGCATGTCCTTATATGGGCCATACAGATACGTTTTCCAAACATGAAAATGACGTTCTAACGTACAACTATCGTATAATTACATATCATACAGTAACGTGGCCCTTATGACTTCAGTAGCGTGTAAACTGCTATTAATTAGAAAGATTTATGATTATGTCACTATCAATGCTAGAGAGTGGACCATGTTTGGAAAGGATTCAATTTTAAATTACTGTTTTGCAGTCCATATGATGCCACAAATTAACCACATATGACTAAACTACATGTATATTCATAATCATTTGGGTTTCTAATTTGTGAATGGAGTCATTGTACTGTTCGCAGCATCATATATATCTTCACTTGCCAAATTCCCTTGAAATATTGCCTGTACATATAGCTACAACCCTCATACATTTGATAAATGTGCTCGTGATCGTCAGTTTTCATCATGTGACTGAGGGTTCGAAAATATGACTAATACACATCATGTGATGGGTACCTAGTGTGACTATGGTGTACTACAAATGTGCACTGAGAACATCAATTCACAGCCTCCACTATAGTACAGTCCGTGTAGTACGCACACTCATTCATACATACATGTACATGTATAAACCCGGATGCATAGGTTACAACTTTCACACAAGCCTATAAAGACGGTTAAGAACGGCTTATATATCTTTAAAATCAAATCATTACCTGCTCAATGATTCTTTGAACATCAGCGTCTGCTTCTTTTACATCAGAGGGGCCTCCACACATCATCTTGAACGAATGTTTTGAGAAAATCAAGGAAACTTCGACAACGTTTGACTTCCTTGTTTTATCCGGAAGTGCTATTATTTATACACTGGACGAAACACGAATATCAAAAATTACTAATTTTACCGGGGTTAAGGTTGGCCATTATTGTTGAATGTGCCCACCAAAAGATTCACCAGCCATTATATTTTTGTAAACATCTCTATCCGATATTAAAAGTAGATGTTTCATGTTTTAATAACAAAGGGTGGTCTTGTTTTCAATATTTCGATTAATTGATCGTTTATAAATAAATCTTTTTTATGAAACTGATACGTATTATGTATGCTTGAAAAATATTTATAGAATCGGAATTATAATACCACTGTTATATTCCCCTCTCTCTGATTGGCACGTGATTTCCGTTGAATATCAAATGATATTCACCGGTCACGATTTAGTTCAGTGTAATTTTAATTTTATATATCCCCGAGTAACCTATTCTTTATTGGCATGACTTCGAACAACTTCACAAGACTGACTTCAATTTTTTTCAAAACCATCATCAAGTCTCTCTGACTTTCGATTTGAGATTTGGAAGGAGGGGATTTTTTTTATTTTTATCGAAAGGTGGCGACACAGTTATACTAAGAGCACCCTGAATTGCGCCCGAGACATATTATTACGGCGGTCCTCGGTGGAATTGAAGGCGTTTGTGAATAACTGTTTCGTAAAGAATGGCTGTAACGAGTACATTGATAACAAGCCGATATATAGGGTGGTCCAAAAATTGGGACACTCCTATTTCAAAAATAAATATTGATTAATTATAGCCCTCAATCTTGGCCTAAACTGATCAAGGGCATCATTGATTTGCTAGTATTGAGACAATGACTTCAACTTCTCATAAACAATTCTATTTTAGGGACTGTGTGGACGAAAGGGGTCTACTACTTACTCCTGATATGAGCTCATTTTCGAATCATTACATTTTCCGACAAGATGGGGATCCAAGCCACAGATCCCACAATAAAGTGATATATTTAAAAGGGAGAATGTGCCCAGATCCACCCCCTCTTCAATTATGATCACTTGCCCCATATCACCTGATGCCAACGTCTGCGACTACCATGTCTGGTACTAACATGTACGATGGGGAGAACTAACAGAATTTGTGTACCATGAACCCCTTGATTCTGTCCATTAAGGACAGAATTGTTGAGAAGTGGGATTTATTGTCTCAACAGCATATCGATGATGCTGTTGACTAGTTAAGGCCAATATTTGGCGCTATAAATGATCAACATGGTGGACATATTGGAACGTCTGTTTATGTAAATAAACTTAACAAAAACATGTTATTGCAAGTTCTGGAAAAACCGTTTTGAAACGAGAATTACGTGATTTCTATTATTGTTGAAAGTCATCCTGATCAATTTGAATATGATATACCAAATTAAAGATAATCAAGATAGTAACTGGTATATGGTGTGGCATATTTCACGTGTTTTCAACAATAAATCAATACAATTTTTGAAATGTGAGTGTCTTATATTTTAGACCACTCTGTACTATTGACAACAGACATTTTACAAGATAGGATTGATTGAATATATCTGCTTCGAAGTAACAGCTTGATTTGAGACTTGGACGATGACAGGAATAGTAAATGTATTAACAATTGTCCTCCTAGGGATCACAAACACACTGGATGCATACCCTGTGTCAGGGTCCTGGTTTAAAGACAGATTTACGATCTCAGAATGGAACGATACATTAGACGCATTTAAATCGATAGGTGGCGACACCGTAATATTAAGAGCACCCGAGATTAAGATCCGTAGCAAAAATGATATAGTAAATGACCCCTTGTATAAACAATGCTTTATACCATGGCTGGGAAAATCGACGGATTGTGTCACAGCGACATCTATTGCCCTTGAAAAACAGGGGTTAAATATAACAAAATGGGCGACTTACGACTATGAAGAAAATTATAGTTCAAAAATACTAAAATGTAAGGACTTTGATATCCAAATATCAGCCGTATCTGGCAATGTGTACCATCGTATTGTCTTAGCTGAAGATAACGACAGGTAAAGGCTCCTCGACCTCCCGATAACAGTCTGACAAAACAATCTGTTTGTCAACAACGTTTGTCTACAACAATACCGAGTTAATTGTCCAAGCATTGAACTTAAATATCTTGAATATTGTTATACGATTTTTGCTAATTTTTTTTATTTATTTCAATTTGAAATCTGACTTAACGTTGCACTCTATTAAAGCTAGGCTCTTTTATTTATTTTTTCAAAATATTAATCATTCTACAAGACAAAGTAAGACACACTTTTAAAGCATTTAACTTGTTTCAAAGTACTTAAAAACATATTGGTGCAGCCTTGTGTAGTGTCATGTCATCACTTTTATAAACTATAGCCGCATGTTTTCTTTTTCCACAAATTCAAAATACATCTCCGTACATATTTGACACATTTCATCGCTACAGTGTGAGTCCGTTGGCCGCCGCAACAAATGTGACTTAGCATCAATATATTTTTCATAAATTGTGAATATATGCGCCTAAAATCCTTATTCCCTAAAAAGGTAGAAGGTGGGAAGGGTAATTTGAGGTTTATGTTCTATATTTCAGACAGTCATGTGATTTCAAAAACGGATCTAAAGTGGTAGTCCTCTTCACAAGCTTCTGTGGTGTCGATCCGCATCAATTGCTCATCAGTAGTGCCAGCAGCCGAAAGATGTCCGTCTTCTTCGGTCTTCCCGGACTCCCCATCGACGGTGTCAGTGATTCAGCCACCAATACTTACGTTGAGTGGGTGGAGAGAGTATTAGTTGACCATGCATTAAGATACGATCCGAAAAGAATATTGAATTACCATGATTTCCGAAAAGTTAACATACAGCGCAGAAGGAAACGTATGTTCAGCAATGGTGTTACCAACTTTGATCAAGGGTTTCCAATGGATAGTTTTAATGCTCTAAAAGGTTATTTTTGCTCAGTAGAAGAACCTCTCTGGACTATCAAGACAAAAAATCGGAAAACTGATCATCTGATATCACCTTTAGAAATTTATAAAACTTTAGGAGAACTTGTAAAGAAAAATAACAAAGCGTTCATGGTGTCGCCGAAAGTTGGCCTAAACACTTATATGCCCCATGCGTCTATTGAAGACCATATTGATGGCTTTAAATCACTGACAGAGTTGGGCGTGGTCGATTTTGTAGCAATTCACCAAGGTAGAGCAACAGCGGATGCCGCCTACTTTTGGCCAAATGAAAAAAAGAATATTATTAAAGATAGCGACCCGAAACTGTTTGAAATTCTTCGGAGCAAGATTAGTGACCTTCCAGAAAGTACAACGTTTGACCAAGTCTATCCCGATGGCAGTGTTCAAATGGTAGGTTAAAGTAAAGAAAATGCATCGATACCACGATTTTTATTGTTTCTCTTACAACCTATATATTACAAGATTAGTTTTAATTATATGATCCTGGATTATATAATATTATACAATCGTAGTTTGAATAATAATCATCTTGTTTGTTTAGATGTTCGAAAATTTAAAACCATTTCTGTGATTCATCAACTGTTTAACATAAAACCGATTCCTTAAACCAACAATCCTTCCCCCTGTCATCCCTTGTATCTTAAGTCTCCTCATGAATATTGCTCTTTAGCTTTTTGAAGCGCTTCAAACAGCAAGAGATTCAGTGCTGAACACCAGTAACACAATGACATTCGATCTATGGTTGAATATCGACGCTTATGAAGACATTGCAGACAACAATTCGTGCCTTCCCGTTGATTCACATGGTTCAGGTACATTACAACCCCCAAAAAAGCTTGGCAACTGGAGGTAACATTTTGGACCACATGTCGAGTGATTTGAATACGTTCATAATTTGGCATAAGTGCCCAACATGTTCTTGTTTAGCCAAATATTAATAGACTTTGACGAGCTTTGCCAAGTTCATAACTTCCAAAATACAAAACTAATTAAGTTTGTGAGTAACAAGCGTTGTGAAAGATGCTTCTAAAAAACAATTCTAAATGCGCTATAGCTACGAAAAAACATTGTGTCGAATTAATTACTAAAATTAATAATGACAAATTGAACATTTTTTTTATTGATCGGCTAATATGTCAGCGTTATTGTGTTTCTACTTTTTCTGTAATCCTACTTCTATGATTATAAAAAGGGTAGCGATGTTTGGTCCATAACCGAAGATGGCCGACCATAACCGAAGATGGCCGATGATACTCCAACCGTAACCCTAAAGAAGAATCGGAATTCGCTCGGCCATCTTCGATTGCAGAGCATTGGTGTTGTCCTGTTATAAAAATAAACAAATAAATGTTTAGGCATGGAGAGGAAAGTCCAGCGTACTGACAAGTCACGTATCGACTGGGCAATAACAGCGGCGGGCTCAAGGGTACAGAAGATCGTCTCATTCGCCTGGGATCCTCTGTTCACCTGCGAACCAGATCCTAAAAAAGAAAGCCTAGGGGCACAGATAAGCGATCAACTGGAGACGTGTATTATCTCCGAGTGTCGCTTTCATACCCCGCATAATTTGAGTGTCGTTGTCATTGGCTATGCCCAGGTTGGAGGGATGCCACCAGCATCATACAATGTAAGGAAGAACATGGGCGGGTTTGGTTTGGTATAACTTCTTACTGATGTGTTTAATGTTTAATTTTGCACTCCATGTTCAATGGGAAATAAGGATATAATTTAAAAAATGATTTTCACGATATCCACCCATGTTCTTCGAGATTGATCCGAGAAGCTTTGCTTTCTTTAATTTGAATTGGCTCGCGTAAAATGTTCACGGACGACAAAGCCGAGCGAGATCATATTCAGATAAATTCTAAACTTAAATAAAGTCCGACTTAAATGTGTACTTTTTAAACCATGGCTTTGAATTAAAATGCTTTCGAAAATGTTAGTTTGGAATTGGATCCATCAAATATGACGAATATAAGTTTAAATTAATTTCGATAAATCCTGGATTAAAAAAATATATCATAGATCATTGTTGCATTTTTCGACCCTACATAAAATTGTTAAGTTGCATTCAATCCTACTTTTCAGGTAACGTGGCCGGATCGATCCGGAAAGTACCATTCTTCGAGTATCTACGGCTACTATTATGAGATGGATTACGGCATAGCCCACAACCTTACCCCGGACCTACAATACTGCATGCTTTGGGATTTCCTCCCTTTGAATCAATTTGCAAACCACGGGTTTGTTTATGTGTCTGGGTGTGGCCATCCGTGTGTGTTTGAGTACGACATGCCGGACTATGTTTATAGAGAAAAACTAGGATCAAATTATAACATTGAACTTTAAGCCCTGTATTTGATCCAGAAAACTCAATCGTATGGTTCAAGAAGTTGTTTTGGAGTCAACACAACTATTGAGTTAGCATGATCAAATAAAATGTACAGATGGGCCAACCCTCTCTCACAAGAAGGGATTAACTCAGTGAATTGAAAATCATCTAAATGAAAGTCAACTCTGCTTCCTAGCATTGCTTCCAAAACTATACACCACTGGCGAGTAATTTCACGCGCATTTTTATCGACAGGGAATTGAAAATGTAGTGTTCAGGGAATTCATTTTTCTCATTTACGAGCCCACCACATTTATGAAATGTGTGGTGATTGAGAATGTTTTCGATCATCTGTCCAGGCTACTATTCAATATAATTTCCAAACCATATAATTCCGGGTTTGGCTTCTCGAAGTATTGCGCATCAATCGCTTCGAAATAATGAACGTGTAAGCGGGAAATGTAAAAATAACATTATTCAAATTTAAAATAGTATGACTTTATGCTTGCAAACCAAGTTAATTGAAAGGTTCATTTTCAAATCATATAATTTCAGGTTTGGCTTCTCGAAGTGATGCGCATCTATCGCTTCGAAATTATGAAAATATGAGCGAAAATGTAAAATACAATTATTTCATTTAAAAGTATTATTTTATTTAATAGTTTATACTTGCTATTGCAAACCCTCATAATCCTATCATTTTTTAATGAATGCTTATCGATTTAATTTGATAACATCTAATACTTTAAAAACGTTTAATCAGATTCGTAATGCGGAAGAGTGTACTATTAATGACCAAAAATGTAACATACTGATGAAAAGACTGCAACGCACTTTAGCCAAGGTACGCGTTTTTTGATTGCTTAAAAAGTACGAAAACATTTTGGGAAATATGAAGAATAGTTTTCAAAATTGACCATACCTTGGTGTATCTTACATGATTTATAAGTTGCTGGCCGGGGTACTAGTACAGTGTCCCTCATTATATTGGTTTTAGTACCCACTGCAATTAAATCGGTTGATTGAATTAAACGATATGTTTTTCATTTCAAAGCTGATCAAAAAAGATAGCAATGGCCACAGAATCTGTTCTATTGATTGAATGAATTCGAATAAACAAACATATTATTGTTAATTTAACTTCTTCCACGAAGCAATGTCATCACGTACGCAAAACCTGATCGTCCCGCGCATTTGCAAAACAGGATGCTTGAAACTCGGACATCTGATAAATATTCTAATTCGATTCAATTTATATCACCGTTTGAACCTGTTTTGAAATCCTTTGTTGCGAGGTCGAGAGATGCGTATCGTTTACGCGCAAGCTGTGTTGCTCATGTACTAGTAGTTTAACAGAAATCAATACGACAATTAGGCTGTACATAATTAAAACCACAAAATGTTAGGAGCTTGGATTTAACTCAATACGGAGGTCCAATAACTTATAAATGATTTTAAAAATATCGTGAATCGTGAAGACAGGAGAGGTTTGAATCGGTTTCATTATGGCGCCCATGGGCAAGTTTATGACACGGACAGTATTCCTAATTGGATATGTCTGTTTGACGATGATTTTCAGCGCTTATATTGTTATCAATGAAGCGCTTCGCCAGCATCAGTCCCGGGTAGCCGTGGCTCTTCAGGATGGAACTAGTAGGGAACTCGTCCGGAAATCAATCCGTTCAAACATTAGAGCTTTGACAAGAGAAGGTAATCATTCCGTCTTCGTTGCACCAACACTGAAACCAAATAAAGCGACCGTTGAACAAGTGGAGCATGAACGTACGGAGGGTAATACTAAAATACCATACATTTTGATAGCTGATTCAAGATCAGGTTCGACTCTTCTGATAGACTTACTGAATCAGTACGTAAAAACACCGAACCTCGGGGATCTCGTTTTACCCGATACGCTGAAAGAAAAAAATATGTTAAACGGGCCAGGAAGTAGCAGCTCGATATTGGCCTATCTCACCGAACAATTGAAAAATGATCCGAGAGCAAAATACGAGGCTGCTCCAGGGTTTAAACTACAATGCAACAGTTTACGATTTTTGAAAAGAACTAACAATTTACTATTAGATGAGCTGCTCCAATATCTACATAAACCGAAACTGATCTTGCTTTATCGGGAAGACCTAATGGAACGATATGTATCCGATATGATCGGGATGCAAACGGGAGTTTGGCATGCCCTTTCAGAGAAAACCGCAGAAGAGCGAGGAGTCGCGGATGGACTCACGAACCACCCTCATAAAAACACTAGCATCGTCATTAAATGGCAAGACTACCTCAATTATGTAGATATGACACGGAATGACTGGCGGACAATCACACAGGTGATGAAAGAAGTAGGTTATGGTTGTGAAGACTTTCTCATGTTAACATATGAATCCTACACCAAAGACGTACCAGCTACAATGGAAACTATAAGTAAATTTCTCCAAGTGCCGCCAAAGACTAAACCATACACGCTTAACTTACAGAAGTTAGATCCTGAACCTCTGAGCGAGAAAATTGAAAACTTTAAAGACATAGAACCAAAGATAAGAGATTCTCAACGCGAAAAACTGTTTCTTGATGCGCACAAACATTATGCTGAATGTGCAAAACCTTAGAAACTGGAATATATTTATAAATTGACCATAATACATTACAATCTGTCCTCAATTACGGCACCCTACCTCTATATAATTGTGTGAATTTATGATGTGATACCGAAACTAGAAACGCGCAAACTGATCGCCGGGCAATACGTCATTTATTGTTGTGCCGCACCTTGCCTTTGTTTTAGAATATCTGAGTTGTTTTTATCATGATGTAATTTTAAAAGTTTTGGAACATTGTTCACATTATTATAACAATTAAAACTGTACAAGAGCAGATATCAATAAATAGATGGCAGTAAGATCAAGAGTAAAATATAGATGGGAGTTATATCAATAAGAGTCAAGTAGATCACAGAAAAATCAACATTACAGTTTGAACCATAAATAAATGACTCATGAATTTGCTGATATGAGGTTTTCCCATGTTCAAAAGGCCATAAATCAGTGGATGCAAGAATACAAAGTGCAAAATAAACAGATTTTAGGGGAAATGTATCAGACGATATTTAGTCAAGTGAACTCGACTTAATGTTGTTGTTTCACGTTTCTTTTTGACGATTTGGATATTTGTTTTTTATTTTTGTTTTCAACATTTGCGTCGAGGATATTAAGCCCTGTATATTGCGGTAAATGCTTTTCTGCCCTCTATGCTCAACAAAAGTTACACAGATAAGATAATGGATCCAATGCTTCAACTAGAATGTATTAACTCTTACCTTAAACACAGGAAATACTTGATAATTGAAGAAATGTAATCATTTTCGTATATGTTTGAACCAATTTCCAATATGGTTCTCAAGGTCACTCAAGGTCACTGAATACTGTCTAAATGTGAAACCATGCAACCAAAACGAAATCGTAATTATTTATTACCAACATATCTGTTTTCGGTTTCTTCACTCTCCTTGGTGTCTGAGAAGGCGATTCAATTGTCATAAGACGATGATAAACTTTCGAGTTGAAATCTCGATCTCAATATGGCTGCTGTTATTTATTGTAATTTCGTTTTTCGCTTCACCTAGAGTTTTACTTTTACACAATCATAACCCAGAATGCATCTACACATGGGGAAAAAAAATTTTCCAGAAAAATTCTTATACTTCTTCAATTATCAAGCGTTTGAGGTGTGTAAGGTAGGATTAAATACATTATCGATGAAGAGCATATTCTAATACATAATCTGTGTGATTTTGGTTGCCTAAACAGGCCAGGAAAGCATTTCCCTCAATTTACAACCGGGAAGTGTGTACGACCCTAGTATGCAAGAAAATAACAAAAAATAAATATCCAAATTATCAAAAAATAATGACAAATAAAGCATACGATGGTCGGATTTATATGACTAACGATATTGGAAACTATTTCCTCAAACCACCATGGTTTGAAGTGGTAATGGAAAATCGACTACTCATTCAATTATGGTCCAAACTGTAGCCTTTGGAGCTGTCACATATTGGCCATGAGGGCTCACCGTTCGCCACCTTGTGACTACCTTGGGCAGACGGCGGGGTACAGCATGGATGCACGGTGGGCAAAACAAATAGTTTCACAACAGGAGAGTCCCTATCACACCAAATACAAAAATTTAATTAAATTAAAAATTGATGCCTAAAATTAGCAACACGGTGACAAATGGTAATGCCACGCGGCTAATGTGACAGGCATGTGGCTAATGTGACAGCTACTTCAATTCATTTAATTCTTAGTATTTGGTTTAGCTTCAAGTATGTGGCTCATTCAAAATGACATATTCCCTTCTCTTTTAACCCTAATGTGCACAACGTATGTTTTATAACACTAATGGCCAGGGGGGAGCAGATGACTCCACTGGCGTTTCCCAAGTTGAAGAACAGTAAAAACAAAGGCACCATATTATAGGCCATTCAAAACACTTGAGATGTATTAAAATCTCAAAAGTAGGTCGAATGAGGTCAAAAGTGGGTCAAAGTAACATTCGGGGAAGGGGAGCTTTTTGGCGTATTTTTACTTTTCAATAAAAAACAGTATATAATTTTTTTCTTGCCAGAAAATGGTACTAAATGTGATAGATGTATTTAGAATGTACCTTTTAGGACAAAACTCCGAGGGTGAATATTACCTTTCCTAGATCTTAAGATAGGTAATTTGGTCGAACATTTGGAGAAATTACCTCTCAAAAATGGAGGGAGAGGAGACAAAACAGTATTTGACCTAAAATACTGAATAGATAATTTATTTCTCCTGACATATCATTAGCTAAATCATTTTTAACTATCATGTTGATTTTATATCTACAGTATGTCAAATTATGCTTCTGAGGAAACATGTTTATTGCTAATTTGACACCTCAATGTTGTTGTTAAGTTTGTCCCAACCCAATCAAAGCTCTAAAGAAATATGATAATTTCCGTTGATCTTTCTACATCAGAAAATAGCATAACATGGGGACAGTGTTACTTTGGAAAACAATATACTCAGGTATTGCCTGAACAGTTTAATAAAACATTATCACAATATCTGTGTCATGGAAATTGTTTTTACATTTTTGGACATGTTGCATATTCAATAAAGGTATTTGTAGCTACCCCAAGTCATGATTTTCATATAACGCTTTTGTGCATAGAGTTAATAGATACTAGTGAATGACAATTAGTACAATGGCATCCTAGTAGGTGGCAGGTGATTGGATGTTATATTGATGACTTAAGATATCGTGTATATCCTGGGGAAATAACGATATCTTATGGCTCAGTGGCAGAATCAAGATTACCGCTTTCGCTTGGCCCCAGGTTCGTTTCTCGGTTCAGACAAGTTTGTTTGTGTTATATGTAATTCTGGGTGTTTGACTGAGTGGTCAACTACTCGACGTATAAAAGGCTGTGGTGTGTACTTGTATGTCTGTGTACCAGGGCACACAAACGAACACAGGGCTTTACAAGGAGGAGTATCTGGCTCCTTCAAAGTGTAAAAATACGTAAGATACGGAATATACCAATGAATTGTAACTCGCCAAATATGGCGGAACCAAGATACAATGCAACCTACGGTAAAAGAGTTTGGCGGCCAAGCGTTGTTGCTACTGTGCCAAAAATAAATTTAGTACGTTCATTCAAGTTAAAATACACTGAACATGTTTAAAATACATTGGATTTCCCATCATGTTGTCATGTAAGAGAATCGATTGGGTTTGCCGCATTTAAACTAAGCGTTCCTCGAGTGATTTATCGCGCTTTTATTGAGCTGTTGAACAAAAATCAAATGCACTTATAAAATGAATTAGGTTAATACATGAAACAGTAAAAGCCATATCTTTACATATTATTTTCAACTGCGATTAGTATCATGGACATCCCGAGCAGGAGCTAGAATCTAGAAAAGGCAAATCGAAAAACGTGAGGTAAGTTTCTATAAGGTATTGCAGTACTATTTTCAAAACTAAAAATGCCAAAACAACGCCTGTTTTAACACTAATTTGCATTGGATTCTTTTAATTTTTTTTTATTCAATTTAACTTTTAACATATGTACAAATACATGAATAATACATTTCAATTATAAAACAAATTGATCCAAAAATAGTATGAAATGCTAAGCAAATAATGAAGCATGATTACAATTTGAATGTTCATACACATTAGCGAAAAATACAATGTTGCAAGCTATTTTTGACTTGAAGTTCAGATTTATAAAGAGATCAGCCTTTTCCGAGAAAGCTATCCAGTTTGAATAAACAGTGTATCAACAATTGTCAATAATAAGTCTCTGAACATTGAGATCTTGTTTTCATGGATTTTTATATTCCCCAGTACAATGTCCTGCCATCTTATATTAAGTTTTAGTATTTTTTCAATTTTCTCCCATATTGGTTTATTATTACAACACAGTCAAATAGCAAATGTTTTATATCTTGCGTCTCTCTACATTTCATACAATTTCTATTTACACCTACATGCCAATTAGAAACCATTTTGCCACAAGCAATGGTATTATGCAGAAGTTTAAAGCTAAATTGAGCAAGAATTTTATAAGACACATTATTTATCTTCCTCTCATAAACTCGCTTGAAGAGACTATTTCTATGCTCCAACTTAAAACGTCTGCACCAGTAATTCGCATTGGATGATGTTTTTAGTATCGGCGGGTTTGGTTCAAATAACTTTTAATATTCCAAAATGCAGATCGCTAATTTACATACGAATTCTTTGGGGGAATTTATACTTAGACAGAATTGGACGGGGTGCATGCATCAGGTCTGAAAAACGGGTAAATAAGGGAGGGGAGGGGGTTCGGTCATCTTATAGTTTGGTTTGAGTCTTTTCCGGGGCTGAGCGAGCCACAGATGTGAAGTACCCACTCTGTAGGGATCAGAGATTAGGAAAGACACACCATATACGGGCGCTCAATAAGTACTGATAAAAATGCTGTTACTTTTTAATTATTTATATTTCTGACAAACTTTTCTTCTGTACATTGTTGTCTTTGTCTATTGAACAATTGAGAGTTGTCATGTTGTCATTTTAGGGAATCGATTGGGTTTGGCATACATCTAAAACAAAACATTCTTTGACTTATTTATCGCGCTTTTATTGCTGTTGAACGAAAATCAAAATTAACTCATGAAATGAATTAGGTTAATACACGAAACAGTAAAAGCCATATCTTAACATACTATTCTCAACTGCGTTTAGTATCATGGACATACCGAGAAGGAGCATAGCGAGAATCCAGAAAAGGCAAATCGAAAAACGTGAGGTAAGTTTCTATAAGGTATTGCAGTACTATTTTCAAAACTAAAAATGCCAAAACAACGCCTGTTTTAACACTAATTTGCACTGGATGAAGTTTTTTAGTATCGGCGGGTTTGGTTCAAACATTTTTTTAATATTCCAAAATGCAGATCGCTAATTTACATACGAATTCTTTGGCGAGAATTTATACTTAGACCGAATAGGACGGGTGGTATCTGTATCAGGTCTGAAAAGCGGGTAAACAGGGGAGGGGGGGGGGGTAGTCGGTCATCTTAACTTAATTAGAACACGTGGGATTATGTGTGGAGAGGTAAAAAAAGTGAATCAAATCCCCGAATCCTGAAGGCAGGATTCAAGCAGGATTCATATGCACATATGAATCCTGTATGAATCCTGCCTCCAGGATTCGTACAGGATTCGCTGTTTAAGTAGTTTACAAATGAATCCTGTAGCTAGGATTCGTGCAGGA